AGAACAAGTGAGCCCACCAAAGATATCTGCGCAGCAGTGGGTGAGGGAACTGTCACCAAATCCACTATAGGTCGCTGGTCCCAAAGCTTTAGAACGGAAGATCTAGCAGTAAGTATCAGGAGATATATTATTTATTCTTTCATCAAAGTAATCAAATAAGCTCAACCTTAACAGTTGCTTTCCGATAGTGCTTTTTACGTTCTATCCACACATATGCAGATTATTTCGACTTTTCTCCTATTGAAAAAAATTGTGGGCCAAAACATGAATTTTAGTTTGAAAATGTGCGCCGAATACCGCACTTTTTCGAATAAAGTGCCTTTTTTGTATGAAATAATAGGCAATTTTTGAATACTCAGGTAATCATTAGAAAGAGCTTGGAAAGCGCTTCCGAATGGTATGCCATATGTCGAGGGACTTTCAAGTGCAGCAGCACAAATTCGGACGGCGTTCAAAAAAGTCTGTCTGACTTCTTTAGAGCGCCGCTCGAAGGAATGTCGGTGAAATGCTGCAAGGTGCTGTCGAGATAACCTGCGAAGGTCACTTTATACAAAAGCGTTCAAATAGCTGGTTGTTTAAAGCTAATCAGAAAGAGATCTTGAAGAATGTTCAAAAAATCAAGGTGCCCCATTACTTTTGGATCACCCTAATATCTGATTGTAAAATATGAAAACTTGTGACAAATGGGCGGGGAACGTCCTACAGTAGCTGTAGCTTCCTATTGCTTTCCGAAAACCGCTTTTTCGATCTAGAAAACAATTTTATCATGTATCACGAATACTGACTGTATTATAGACTTGAAAAACTTCCCATTACCAATTCACATCAACTAGTGCTGAATGTGTCTTTGATGTGCATTTGTCCCCAGTCTAACGCACTCCAGTGTATGTACTTTCAGACTCCATTAACACATTGATCATACATTCTATGGCCTGGCAGTGGAATGTATGTGTACCACTCTGTTTATTCTGATTCACACTGAGTGCCAGTAATCAAACGTAGTTTCGAAATAATTAGAATTTCAAGTCTGTATGTCTATTATTTGAATCTTGAAGTTTCTCCCATTGCCACAGAATTTGTTCATAGAAGGTTTTGATTTCAGTCCGACTTCTAGACAGGATAATCTTAGCAATGTCACTGGGGAATCATAAAAACTAACTGGTGTTTTCAAAAAAGAGTACTCCAGGGACTTTCTTACCTCTTTTGAAGCTGATCCGCAGTTGCTCTACGTTTCTCTAGAACAAATGCGGACTGAACTCTCATAGTCATAGTCTGGACTTTTCAAATCCGAAATAATTGAGCCAATAACCTTGATTTTCTGATATATACTTCTTGGATGTGAGGTAGTTTACGATAGGTCGAGAACTATCCAATTATCAAACTTCGGCCCTTTGTCAAATGTTGCCTGAGCCCAAAATGCCCTTAAATCATTTTCCTCCTTCTTCCTTATTTTCCCTTTTCCTGCGTTTGATAGACAGAGAAGAAAATGTAGAATCATCGTTTTGAAATCTAAGGGACCCGTCATATTTCGCCGAAAAAAGCCCAAAGAAGCCCGAAAAAGCCCAAAAAAGCCCGAAAAAGCCCAAAAAAGCCCAAAAAAGTCCGAAAAAGCCCAAAAAAGCCTAAAAAAGCCCAAAAAAGCCCAAAGCGCCAGAAAGAGCCGGAACACTTCTCGCACGTTTTGGCGCTAAAGCATGTGTGTTGACTTCGCAATCGAGCCTTTTTGTCATTTTCTGTCGTCCGCATGATAAGATAATGTCAGAATTCTACCAAAAGTTCGTTTCTACATTCCGGCTCTTTCCGGCGCTTTCGGACTTTTTTCGGCGAAGTATGACGGGTCCCTAAGGGTAATATCACGGTGAGACAGACTGCTAGTTGGATCATTCCATTATCTCTGAATATTGAAAGAATTAGCTTGAAACAGAGTTGACAATGCGTTAATGTATGCATAACTGGCTAGATTTATCTAGCGTGGCATCTTTTCTCAACCCTGACATTTACAAAACGTAGCACGATATTTCTAAATGCGCGAAGCACTGCGGTCATTGTCAGACCTAGTAAAGATTTTAGTATTGTGACCAACATTCTCTTAATTAATTTTATTGATTGGTTTCGAACAGGGCTCGGCACGAGGTGGCTAGATGAAAATGGAAAAAACGAAGTCCCCCTTAACTTTTGGGAATTTTTACGAAGTCCCCTTTGACCCTCAACCTAATTTCCCCAAAATTCCCCAAAAAACGAAACGTCGACTAAAAAAAAAAAACGTCGCCAAATTGCCAATTTTGCGTCTCTCTTCGGTCACAAAAACGAAACCCCCTTTGCTTTTTGTCCCAAAAACGATACCCAGCTAGCTTACAAGCCACCTGTGCCGTGCCCTGGTTTCGAAGCACTCTCACTTCGCTTCGCCTCTACATCATTTTGTGATTTTGAATGACTTTGGTGACATAAATGTTTGTTGCAAAATAGAGTCGTGTTTATGTTCATTTGTGTTACGAAGTTCACATCATCATGTTTCATTTCTTGCGTTTTCTGAACATTTCAAATTTTGGTTTTTTCTCGTTTCATGGAGTACTCAATAGATTTTAGTGAACGCGCTGTCGTTTCGTGGTTGTTGGCTGGCATTAAATTTTAGAGCGTCATGTCGTCGGGCGGATTCTATTTCTTTCAGGAATTTGTCGATACGGATGAGTGGGCCTCTCATATTCGTCACAGGCGTCGTCGAAGAACGGGAGGAGCGGCCCTTCCGTCTTCTTTTATGGCTCCGTGCGCCCGCTCGCATATGCATAATGTGCCCGTTTTCACGCGCATTTGAACAGGCAAATCCTGCTTTTCTTCTTTTGGATTTCTGGCTTTTCTTAGTTCAGTGGAGAAGCCAATGCTTTTGGAAATCTTTCTACATATACTTCTAAAGGAAAATCCTGTATCATTATGGATGGAAAACCAGCTAAAAGAAATAAGCCAGGTTCCTTAATGTGATCAAATATTGCAATGCTTTGGCTTTCAGCAGAAAGATACCCAGTAAGTTACTTGCCTATCTAGTCCTTTTGTTGGTAGCTGTTTTCTGTATATAATCCCTTACTCATTCGGATTCCTCAAAGTTTTCCTCCTTCTAATTCTTTTCTTCGATTCTTCAAACGTACTTGTTAATTAATGATGCGTTCACCGAATTGAGAATGATTGAAAAAATCATGGAGAAGACACAATTAGCTTTCCTCTTAGCAAATCAAGGCGAAATTCTCTTTTCATTTCACTGCAACTTTTTGAACTGCGAATCTAAGATATTGCACTGTTCATCAAGATTTATGCGAATATGGTATGTATACGATAGGAGATGGACTGTCATCGCCGCGAATGTATTTCTGCTAGTTAGCGTATTTTTGCTGCGACAAAGCAAAAACTTCCTTTAGTACTTCTAATGTGCTCGAATGCCATAAAAAGGATTTGTCTTGCCAATCTACTAATAAACCTTTTTCCATGAAAAAAAACTCACTGTCAAGAGTAAGATGCGACGGTAAAAGAACAATTTAGTCGCTTTTACGAAGTTGCTTTTTCGGTTAGCAAATAAAGAGTAATTCATATGTCAATCATAAATGTTTTTCGAAGACTCCGTTTCATTTCTATTTTTGAACGGAGAGTTGCATTGTTGTTATGCCATCCTCGGAACTCCTCAATAAGGATGGATTGCGATAAATAAAAATGACTCATTTTTTGAGAACGAATCTAAGTTTTGTAATTTTTATGGTTCAAACAAATTTCAAAAGTTCGTCAGATTCTATATAGAGTCGTTATGCCTATTCAAAAAATTCTTTTCATAAAGAATCGTTGTGCCTATTCCAAAAAGGTGTATTTGCGGGAAAGCGCGTGGCTTCCGCAGCGAACGCGCCTGCAAATCTAGCACATTTAGATTATTGGCTCATTAATTTCTTGAAGAATTGAAAACTTTGGTGTTTGATTATCTAAGAACTTAGGTCGTGAATGATAATTTTAGCTACCGCAAGTTTAATCTAAATTTATCGTACAAGTTGGTGCCTCTGCGGAAGTACAATAAAAAGTGAATGTTCTGATCAAACCCAATTCATTTTTGGTTTTTGATTTATATAGTCCAATAGGTTGTAATAAATGACCGACTATTTGGACATTTATCATGCGTACACTTACTATAGAACTACATAAAGTGGATGAAGTAAATATGAGGATTGTCTTAACTATTCTCTATTATGTTTTTGACATCATAGAATATTGTCCCGTAAGAATCAAGGACAGCACTATGCGCTTTTGGTTGTTTTGGGGTTCTAAATATACGCTGCGCAAAATTGTGCCCGCGCTTTACTGCGAACAAAGCATGTGCGGCTGAAAATCTTAGGTCTCAAAGCGCCATAAACTTATTAAAGGCGACAGTGCACGCGCAACTTCCGCATTTTTGCTTTGCCACTTTTGTGGTAATTTCACCCAAGGCTAACTCCCCGATGTTGAAAACAACACAAAAATGCTTCGTAATCTAGATCAAGATTTCAATGACGGTCCATCTTTCAAGCGAAAAAAAAAACCTTTCTTGAGATAGGTTTCACTCAACAATATTTGCTCCGATGAGAGTCGATTAAATCGTTTATTCTTTCGTTACTCACATTTATGCCTTGTTTACACAGTTGAGTGCACAGGTATTGACGGGAAGCCCTAGAATAGATGACACCTCCTGGTGGAAGCCCATATATCTGCCACAGATGATTGGTTTCTGGAAATTTAGCATTATTTTATCCCCATGACAGTGCCTTTGATAAAACTGCTTCACAGCCGAAGGCAAGCAGCTGTTCCACTCCAAACGCTGATCACGTGTATGCACTTGAAGCCGCTTTCAAACGGATAGTTTATCACATCACTTTGTGATATCTTCGTTATCATCGTCACAACACTTTTTGTCAATATGACGTAATAGTATAGTAAGTCATATAAACACACTCAGTAAGTGGCGTAGTCCTATCGAGGACGACGAAGGCGGTGCCATGTTGTTTTCGCCGCACGCGCACGCGTGCTCGTTCAGGTACGCGCTCTCTATGCGCCGCCCATGGCCGTTGATTTTGTGTTGTCCATACATTAGGGAACGCGTCACAACAATCGAATGATTTATTTTCGTTTCGCTCTCATAATTTCGACAGGCGGCCGGCCGGACAACAGCCGCCACTCGCCGCTATTTCGGGCACGCAGTTCAGCTGACAGCCGGTCTTTTTCCAGTTGTCGTCGTGTTGGATGTTTTATCGATGGGAATGGAACAATTTTTGATATGGTACGTTCATCTCACAAATGTTTTCCTCATTTCCCTTTGTACACCTTTGTTTATCTGTTCCGCTCTTCCTTTTCATCTTTGAGTAAATGTTTGATACAGTACCTCTCTCCTTTTCTCATGTAGGTGAATTCTCAACTTTCAGATAAACTCGAGAGGGCCTGAAATTTACATATAAACTTCCTACTTTGCTCTACTACTTTACTGTCGAAACTGACTAGTTTCTACTGCAGTTTATGATTTCTGTTGCTATTATCATCGCAGTTCCTTCTTCCTGTCTTATCGTACCATAAACGAAGGATATCCGAGAGTACTTTAATTTAGTTTTTTCTCAACTCTTATGACCTAGGGTTCTAGATATGCATTATAGAAAGCGTATCCAGGGAATTTGAACTGAAAAAGTCAAGCAAATACGTGTGAGCCATAAATTTCAGTCTCACTCGTATATGCATTTTCTCGTTTCACTGTTTGTGCTGATGGTTCTGACAGTCAAATCTCCTCTTTCATTTCATTGTTGTTCTAGATTTACCAAAAAAAAATCTTTCACTCTCCTACAGCTTCTCCAAACAACATTCGACTCTATCTAGCAACCGATTTCTTTTACTTTATTCCCACAATTCGTATATTCTGCAACTTTGCAATTTTATTTCACATGTTTTAAACTGCGAATTTGCGCGCGGTCAGCAAGCTTTTTGTCACCTTTGTCCACAGAAATAGTCTTTCGAAATATTTCTAGACTTGTTATCAGCTTGTGGATGCAGCGTTAGTATTCTCATCTCGACATAGAGCTTTCGCGGTGTTTTTTTTTGAGATGATCAAAAATGTATGGAAGGAACTAGAAAGAACGAGTGAACCCAAATGTGACTTCGTTTTTCTGTGTCGCATGCAGTGCCTACCATACAAACAACACTCTTTGAATCGAAGTAAAAGAAGCTTACCAGCCCGCGATGCCCGGCATTGCCACTCCATTTTGCGACTGTTATTTCAATTTTCCAGTTTAAGACGATTAGCTGTATGTTTGAGCCCTGCATGTCCGGATGTTAGCGTTTGAAATCAAACTCTTGTGTGACAAAGCTTCGGGACCTTTCGTAATATCTTTACTTGATTTGAGCAGCATATTTAAACAGAGCAGCCGATCAAAGCAAAACCAACAATTTCGAAATTGCTTTTTTCGGGTGTCCTTTCCTCAGAAATGATTTGGCGCAATTCCAAAATTCACGATTATGGGGACAAGCTGTATAGGTTTTTTTTTGTGAATGGAGTATTGTACACTAGTAATATTGCTCTTTGTATGTTTTGGATTCAAGGTATGCGCAAGTAGGTTTTGTATAGCAATATAAAAATAGAAGCAAACACATGCTGTGAAATTCGTACTCACTAGGGCAGCTCATTGAAGCGCTTCAATTTTCCCGCCAGAATGAGCGCATTTTTCGCGCTTTGAACTTACAAATGCCAAATGTTCACAGATTTGAATTACCACAACAGCAACAGTAATGTCAATATTTCTATTTAGGGACAATAAAAATTCAAAATTGATTAAATCCAAAGCTTATTGGTTAGACCACATTGTATAACAATGAGTCTATTAATACATCTTATCGTAACTGATTTTGTACAGAATAATCACAATCACATTCCGAAATTTCTTCTCGCAAGTTCGATAACTATTGTTGACAGTCCGGTTACCACTCTGAATACCGGTCTCTCCGAGCAAATGTTTGTGGAATGTTGCCTGGACTGCTGCCGACAAATGGGACAATAAGTTATTTGAAAATCACGAGTTTTCTATATTTATGCACTCAATACATTCCGCTGTAGTCACAGCTGGCATTCGAAAACGGAAAATACGAGTCTATTCATACAATTGTTATTTTCATAGCTTAGACTACTTATAACTATCTGGAAGCCTCAGAAATCGAATCAGATATGTGTTTGGCTTGATGCTGATCTTATGCCTTTTTGATCTCTTGTCTTTCTTACAAGGGAAGTCACTTAACTTAGGTCGGGCTTTTGGAATGAGACACATATATTTAGAGTCAGCTCGGAACGCTGATTCCAAATATGCTATCCCTGGCTGCGAAGCGTTTCTCTGAAGCGAGTTATGAGCTTTTTATTATGTGTCATTGACATACAACTGAATATGGAAAGAAGGTCTTTGGATGAAAATCTGCCCAAAAAATGATGGAAAATAAAAATAACATCAAATTGAGTCATTTGGCTTTAATAGGGTATAATATGCATTTGATCCACTACCTAGATGATGATAACGTAGCATGCCTAAGTCGGTCAACACGCAAAATTTGCTCAGGAAAAAGCTCATAACTCGCTTCAGAGGAAAGCTTCGCAGCTAAGGAAAGCAGATTTGAAATCAGCGTTTCAAGCTGATTCCAACCATATGTGTCTCATTTCATAAGCCCGACCTAAATTAAGTGACTTCCCTTATTAGCATTTTTTATTGGGTAGGGGACTATATGTCGCCGAAGAAGGGCGGTCCCCGCGGTCATTTGCGACAAATACGCGCCCTTGTACATGCGCGGACATGCGTTCCTGCAGGCAATCCGCGTGGGACTCTTCCTAATTCGGCGACATATAGTCCTCCACCCTTTTTTATTCAGCATCTCTTGATTTTTAGCCTTGAGAGAATGCCATCTCATTCTTCAGACGAATATCATTCACATGCGTTAGATTTTTTTTACTTTTCCTTTAGAGCCCTGAAGACATTCTGAACAGATGGATAGCTTTACCACTTTTTCTCAACTTTTTCCTGTCAGAAGTCAGAGTGTTCTCCCAGAGTTCTCTTACAGAGCAAGCGAGGAATATAGAAAAGTTGTTTAAGTTTACAAAGTTGTCCCCGGATTTGCCTTCGTTTAATGAAGCTGAGAGTCTGGGTTTCCCTAGGAAAAAAGTTTTTTTGAGTAAAAAAAAATCCTAAAAACGTCTGTGTGTATGCCTGATGTGTGCCCTAGTGTTCAGTGAATCTCAAATTTTTCACCAATCAATCATTTTTTAGCTAATAACTAAGAAGGCTGTAGACTTCTTTTTTCCGTTTTTCTGACGGAAGCTTCTTCACCTTTTTACAACTACAGTATCTTCGATAATTTGTTCACTGTTCTTACAAGCCATCTTATGTCGATGAATTCAACCGAATAGCTATAAAATGTCTGTCGAAAGCATTCGATGTCTATTCCAAGTTTTTTTCTTTTTTGGCTCTCATGACTTAAGAGAGTTGTCGCTGGCCGCGTGTGTGTTCTTTGACCTGTTCTTTGAGATGGCCAAGTTCCGACATTTTCTTACCATGCATCATTATGAGTATGGAAGAGTTTATAATAGAGAGCGTGTGTTTGGCCGGAACCAAATTACAGTAAGAAATTTCTAGGATGAGAGTGCGATATGTTCGCAACGGAAACATCGACCTCATTCCATTAATCATGCGGAAAAGCGCGTTGTTCCGAGTTTTTATTGCGTTTTTTTCGCACTGACAAATTGGTAGGAGGAAAAAGACTAATGAATTGCGGTAGTTTTTTGGGAGAGGCATTGTGGTTTAACACAGGAGATGAAAATACAAACTACATGACGTGAGTTATGTGGGTTTTAGAAATCACTATTATCCATTTAATATATAAGGAATGGTTGGCTCAATTCAAATCTTCCACTAGCGGGAAACCGCGGCGCGAAGCGAACGCTCTTCCAAATAGCACCTTCAGATTCCTGGTACGCTAGTTGTTAATAAAGTTTTGTATGATTAGAGAGAGCCAAAGCTCTGGGAAAAAGGTCTCAGCAAGTCAAATATGGTCTGGCTCGGTGCTTATCCTGGCTCTTCGTTCTTAGTATTTGCGGATTTGATCAGTCAGTCTAGGGCATTTGCGGTAATGACAACATTTGCGCGAAAACAAATGCCAAGCTCGTGGATGCCGACATTTGCTTGCTACTTGCGTGTAAAAATTGCCCATACAAAGCATAAGCCATTGTTCACGAGCAAATGTTGTCGGCAACGCAGGCACACTATGCCAGTGTGAAATCACCACCTATATATGGGCAGATTCTTCTACTTGCTACGGTATGCTACTGTAACGGCACACGTGTTTGGAGTGGGACACAATTGCTACGCAAAAAACCTCTTATAAATCTCGCATGGAAGGAACCGATGGGGTTACGGTAGACGGTACGGGGTTACGGTAGCTTACGGTACAAGTATATCCACTTTGATGTTGCTGGTCGGCAAACGCTCATTTAAAGAAGGGCAATCGGATATAATTTATTTTAGATTGAGCATATTGCTTGAGTTGCTTCCGTTACTCTTAAAAGCCACAAACTTGACTTTTCACTTCAAATAAGCATGAATCTTGACCCCACCTAAATTTTCCACGAACATTGCGTGTGATTATCTTCATGTGTCATTTATCTACGACATCTAGATAATTTACTTGCGCTTTCTTTTCCTCTATTGAACCCTGAATCCAAGAACGAAAACGCGGAATGAACTCGTCGTGTAATCTTTCAGCTGAATCGAAACAAAAAACATCGACTACGCGGTCATTCTTCAGCTATTTGTTATCGCACGTACATGAGCGAAGCGTAGCAACGAAAAATGTCGGAGCGAAGCACACACGATTTCGTTGAACCTTCTTTGATGCGAAGAGCAAAAAAGCGTTGTTTGGTCTGACTGAGGGTTAAAAAGTAAAGTTAGAGATTATGGAATTGAAAGGGAATAATCCAAGTGTGTATGTGTCACGTAGTTAGCGGAGGTTTTCGTTGTATAATGAAGCAGAAAGCTGAGAAATTGATTGTATGTGTGCATATGATTCATTTTAGCTTCTTGAAATTGTCACAAGATGCACAGAATGTGGCAATTTAGTTATATGAAAAAACGCTAATTATTACGATTTTTCAGAGCGTTGTGCTGTCTGTTAAACATCGCAATGATCTGGTCAGTTTAGTACGGTAAAACCAGCGTTTTGAGAAGTTTTCAACCCGAACTTGTCCTCTTGAGGTCCCTTTTGCGC